AAGGCACAAGGTCAAGAACACTGAATGTCAATCCAATGTCACATGAAAGGCAACAAGGTCAAAGAACACTGAATGTCAATCCAATGTTACATGAAAGGCAACAAGGTCAAAGAACACTGAATGTCAATCCAATGTTACATAAAAAGCAAGAAGGTCAAAGAATACTGAATGTCAATCCAATATTACATGAAAAGCAACTAGGTCAAAGAACACTGAATGTCAATCCAATGTTACATGAAAGGCAACTAGGTCAAAGAACACTGAATGTCAATCCAATGTCACATGAAAGGCAACAAGGTCAAAGAACACTGAATGTCAATCCAATGTTACATGAAAGGCAAAAAGGTCAAAGAACACTGAATGTCAATCCAATGTCAGATGAAAGGCAACAAGGTCAAAGAACACTGAATGTCAATCCAATGTCAGATGAAAGGCAACAAGGTCAAAGAACACTGAATGTCAATCCAATGTTATATGAAAGGCAAAAAGGTCAAAGAACACTGAATGTCAATCCAATGTTACATAAAAGGCAACTAAGTCAAAGAACACTGAATGTCAATCCAATGTCAGATGAAAGGCAACAAGGTCAAAGAACACCGAATGTCAATCCAATATTACATAAAAATCAAATGCCCAAAACCCATATAGTCTGTTTATTAATGCTTGTAGTAACGAAAAATAACGAACTCAAAGCACCGTTGTTAGTTTAGTTTTCCTGGCCTATTTAAATGAAAGCCATGTCCATTGGCATCGACGTCTAAAAGAATGACAATTCGGCTTGTGTTGCATGGAAACGTTTTCCGATTTTCGTGCACTTTTTTATCTTTATTAACGGTAAATATACCGACACACCGAAATAAAATGGTTGAATACATGTACCTGAAAAAAAACGATATATGATTTATATTATCAGTTTTGTTCGATTTCATTTGTCTATTTAAAAAATAAATTTGCACTTAGACTTTTAGTTACATCAGCTGTGACAAGCGTCCACGAATTCCAATATTTAGAGCATTGATTTGTATTATTTAGATCAGACATCAAGAACTTAAAATAGGTTCTTAACTTAAATGCCGGCAAGAAATCGATTAGTAATACTTCCTTTCGAGCAGACTGGTAATTTGATCGTAATTGGGAATGGACAGGTGTAACGGTTTTTTTTCTATTGTCCCTGTAGCCACTTGAAACTGTGAAATCGATCGTGATTTTTTAAGAAGGTAATAACACGAAATATAGACAATAAAATAACGCACTATAATGCAAAGTTATTAGTAATAATAGTATGGTATTTTCTGTTTTAGAAACCAGATGCTCCAGTTAGAAGTGGAACGTCGTTCATGTCATGGTTGTTTTTGTAACATGCAAAACTAACAATTAGGAAGATTTAGCAAACTACAAAAGAAAATTGTAATAATCTTCAGCTTATACAAATGCTTCACTATTGTTACGACTGCTCAAGGGTTAGAAAATTATTAATGCGCCCTCTAGTGGCACAGTCGAACTCTATACCCCTTCCCCCAGTCACTGGAAGGCGCAGAGTGAGTGAATATCAACAAATAATGAAACTGCATTTGTCTTCAAAGGACAGCGTACTTTTTGCACATCTCTTACAATTACTTGAGAAAATAAAATCGATCTGTGGCTGTTGTCAAATACTTGATAAATTCATTCGATTCGATAACAAAAATAAAAGCAGCACCGAGAGCGGGACATGTGTGACATATCATTCATTTAAGATTAATGTACCTGGGATCAGCGAATTACGCGAATATGCAAATCAGATTCAACCAATTATCTCCGAAAAAGATCGAGCAATTTTTTCCCGTTGTGTCGTCACAGGAAGCGCTGTCCCAGCACTATCGGTGTAGAAGACGCCGACCTGCAGCGTCAATGAATTTTTCCAACAAAATGTGTTTAGCGCCACTTGCGACAAATCGAGTAGATTTGATTATATGTTGTGCAATGATTTCAAATGTAGAGACTGCGTGCGATACGCGAGTATCAACACCGCAGATATCGCCTTAGAATGCAGGTCTACGTTTTACAGAGCAAGTAACTGGTTCGGCCATCTCATCTACACTACTAATGTTTCTCACATTCGATCATGTATATGTCAATTAACTCGGCTTTGATCTGCTGTTGATGGACTCACGGTATAATTCACTTCTACAGCTACTCGTCAAGGAGGTTGCTACATCTAGTACCCAGTTGTGACGACAGAAGGCGTATTCTATGAGGAAACAAGTATACTATTGAAGACAGCCGTCGGCAAGATGATACGGTAAGGAGTAAGCATATATAATATATATCTTATTTAATGTATTTAAAACATCTATCACAGGCAGACAAATTATTGAATGTACATGATCATGTATAAATATGTAAAATAATCCAACATTAACAGAATATGAATTAGTAAAAATGAATTAATGATGACGAGGGATAAAGTGAGTCCTGACCTACCATCTTGACTTCATGACAATAACGACTTTTCGAAAACCACACATTGTAATCTGAAAATCGCAATATTATTGATATTCACTCGATCAGATTATGTGGATATAAAACAAGTGACATGATTTTATTTTCACTGACTTCACCTGCCAAATCGTAAGTTAAAATTTCGACTACATTTACACAGCCATGTTCTGATTTATCGTGAATGACCTGCCGGCTATCGATGACTGTTACGACCATCGATACATTTTTCGCTGGCAGTTAATAGTTAATAATTACAGCGCAGAGTAGCCGTGTAGCTTACAAGCACTTTGTCGGCAATGTACAGTGCCTATGACGTACTGTTTCCGGTGAGGTGTATATGTCTTAAATCGCAGTTCGCTAAATTCACGTCAAGGTGGACTGCTGCCTCGACGATCAATGCACATACTGCGCAGATGGCAGGCGCTAACGATGTATTTTAACAATCACATCTGACTGTATGCAATTTATTCATTAACAGGTGGTTCTGTTGCTTTAATCACATGTTTCCGTGAGCACTATCAATAGATGTGTCACATTCGTTGTGTGTTCGACGTCGTGTTTTGTGTGAGTAGTATTCAGGCAGCAAGTGTACATTGTTGATGCGTTCGCGTACTGCGTTCAGAAAATGGAAGACTCGTCAACAGCACCATCGGTAGCGGCGTGTGCGTCTGTGCCTTCGTTTCTCGTCGTCAACAACGATACGTGCTATCAGCTGACGTTCTCCACTGTGTTCGTGGTAGCGGTGTTCGTCATATGCAAATCCTCGTACGCAAACTGCGGCAATGGCGAACCAAAGTCACAGTGGTGGTACTGGGATGCGACCCCATAGGCCTCACTACCGTTCTCCTAAGTGCACATTCAAAGAAAACGTCTAAGATAATTCTTCTAGAGGAGAAAAGTAGAAAATATTTAATTGGACGTCCGCAGCAATTGGCACTAGACGGACACTCAGTCCGGCTCCTCAGAAGACTACAAGTGGATTTCGATAACATTGAAGGATGCTGGCAGGAGGAACGATTCTGTACGCCGATGGGTGTGTTGCAGGAATATTTACTGAGTCTTATTCAACGTTTAGATGCCGATATCGAAGTCAAGCTAAATACAAAGGTAAATTAGTATATATATATCAAATGTCTGACTGTTTTTGTACACATGGAGTAAGCCGCCTGATGTGTAAGGGATCGACCATTGAAACTCATGGGGGTGGCTGGAAGAGTGTGGGTGTGATTGTGCATTTTTTCACGGTGTCTTATCTGTGTAATTTTATTTTCTTGAATGTACCAACATTTGTTCCCTATAGTTTGTTCTCTCAAATCGCCTAGCCATCCTCCCTGATTTCAAATGGCCAAACCCTTATACTTTGATGTTGCATCATAAGCGCTTGTCAACTTTGTAATCCACCCACTCGAAACGACCACGATCGCGTGAATTTCAAAAGCCTCCTAATTGCAGCGTATTAAATCCGTGGTGCAATTTAAATGCAAATTCGCCAATCGTATGCTTGTACAGGTTGCGTAAAGTGGAGTAGTCAAGTCTGGATGGACATACCCTCCCCACGGTACAACAAAACACAACATACATACTTTTTAAAAAATAATCAGAAATTTAGTGCTCTTGTTAAAATGTTATCTACATTTTTGACGGGGTTGTGGGTTTAGCTTCAGAAATATAGTACAGTGCCCTAGATTTAGAGACAGAAAAATATCGTAACTCGTTTGACTCGTATTGGAATGTCGTTCGGGGTTTAGACATGTGTAATGGTAGGTATAGCACTGTGATAGAACTATATTCTGTTGTAACTGATATATAATGATAATAAATTGTAATTACAGTTGTTTCAATACCTATATTTGGCTGTGATATGAAACAGGATGTGTAGAGCTGTTAACCACGTGGTAAGGAGCTGTGTTGGTACCCGCGATAATAACGTGTCCGTCGGTACCACGTCTGTGATCTGCCACTCTAACACTATTAATCCACCAATCCCGGGATCAATCCAAGTCAAAGTATAATTCTGCCTTCCAAGCCAGAGTGATACATATCATAGTATGTACAATCCACTATTTGTAATGCGGACACGTGATTTGTGTTAGCTACTCTTATTTAACGTTTGTTAGTAATTACAATGTTTAACGAATACGAATTAAAGAAAACTGACACAATGATGTAGAATTAATTTGACGATATCATTATATCAATTAGTACACGTATAATGTAGCTGACCCTGTAATATGTTTGAATTAATACGCAATTGTTTCGGAGATCTCGCATCTTCACGATATTTTGAAGAATCGCTTTACTATCCAAAAAAAAGAAAATAAAGAAAGCTGACACAATGATGTAGAATTAATTTGACGATATCATTATTTCAATTACACGTATAATGTAGCTGACTCTGTAATATGTTTGAATTAATACGCAATTGTTTCGGAGATCTCACGTCTTCACGGTATTTTGAACAATCGCTTTACTATCCACGTAAGCGTTTCTTGACAAAGGCAACACACATACGGTTGATGGTTTGTCATGATGACACCGGTGGGATCTATCCCGACAACGCAAAACTGACTAAGCGATTCCATTCCAAATATGATATATATGACACAGTGCGAATGGAAAGTTTTCATGAAAACTGAGTATTTTTGAGCAATGGAAATTGTTAATAACAGTGTTATTACTACATCGAACGTATACCCACATCTTGGTTACCATGGTTACAACAACCGATTGTGTGAAGCAAAAGTTCAGAAAAATTTTCATAAGTTTGTTCCTTACTTAATAAAAAAATAATTTGACTACCCAGTCACTGGTATTTGCTGCTGGCACTAACCATTGGGTGTTCGTTCATATTAATATTTGCAATATATATATGCAGTTGTCATGGATATTTCACCATAATAATAGCCATTCCGTCAAAACAGGAATTTGTCACTCAGCAATCTAATAGAGCGTACAGTCTGGATGGGAAAAGTTTTCCTAATGCAACATTATGCAACATGTATCATTTGGAGAATATTTTTCAGGAAGTGATTTTGTGGAAATGTTCTATTTTTTTACACTGCGCAAACTACATATTACCATGGTAACATTAGTGTTTTTATGCGATAATTCGTATTATTTAATATTTAGCCACCCCACCGTGTATGGTCTCAAATGTATAGCTATCAAAATTATGCGTGTATCACAATTACCATGGTTACGCATAACGACTCATTTATAATAGTATGAAATTTAAATTGTCACATACCAGCATAACATTGTATAAATACTATTAAGGTTGTTGTGATAATTATTTTGTGTGAAAAACAGTGTTTGGTGAATACTGGCCAATTCAAACATTAATAGTTCGTAATGAAAAGAATGATTGATGCTAAGTATAGCTATCTTTAACAGTAATTTATTTCAAGTTTCAGTTGATTGCCCCCAATAAAAATGAATTATCAAATTAATATAAATATTTGCCCAATATTAGGCCTAGAAATGCACTAATGGAAATGAAATTCAAGATTGTAATGAGAAGTGTCTATTACTAAAGCTAATATCTAAATAGCTGTATTCGATAACATGTTAGAGTTATGTACATTCTTAACAAACATGTATTGTTTTTTTTAAATACTCCTACTTTGCCATTTTCATGTGACGAATTCGATGAACGCAGGAAGGAATATATTTATCATTACGGCGAATATCCCAATATATTTATCATTACGGCGAATATCCCAATATATTTATCATTACGGCGAATATCCCAATATATTTATCATTACGGCGAATATCCCAATATATTTATCATTACGGCGAATATCCCAATATATTTATCATTACGGCGAATATCCCAATATATTTATCATTACGGCGAATATCCCAATAACCAATTATCCGAAATTGTTTTGTATTATTAGCTGAGATTTATCATTATTATTACACTTCATTTCAGACCATGTGGTGTATACATGAAAAAGGAAGAATAAAATTGCATTACGTGTACAGAAGACACCTCCAATTACTCCAGAAACTTGACATAAAACATTATTTATACACTGATTAATTAATTAACAATTATCCCAATTAAACAGCCAATGTTTAAAATTGTACAATGATTTTTTACTGACACAATTACCACTCACACGGCTCGACGACTAACATTTTAAAATCAACCGAAGAGCAATTATACCCATGCAATGCACGTACTCGCTTAACAGTATGATTGCACCAAATATTTAAACAGTAATTATTAAAACGAACGGAAGAGACTGCATTTAACATTTTCTAGACACTTCCAAAAACTTCTTAATTTGCGCGTGCAAATTCGTCATCTGTAACCATGGTGACCAATTATGAATACATAATTTACTTTTTACATGTAATAAGCAACTCCACACTAGTTTGATAATCTCTAACATACATGTAATGAACATTTCTAAAGATTCTTTGATAAGACTCATTCAGATGTAGAAGATTGTAATTAGGGATGAAGGAATATGACAAGTTACCATGGTGAATTACACTATGAAAACTAATGTAACTCTTCCACAACAATAGTTTTTGAATTGACTGAACATTTATCTTCAAAATGGTATATAATGTATAATGTTGTATTGTGAACAAAATATTACATACGCTCCATCCAATGATAAAGTGACCGAATATCCATTTTGCAGAAATTATGGTGTCACACGCAACGTAATATTACCGTAATTGGTATAGTACAGGTGTGATAGTTCAAATACCAAAATGGCAACAGTAACAGAAAGACTTCCCTGGCGGCGATGATAAAATACGAATACGGAGCCAACAGATGAGGTTTCAACTGGTACTGGTATTATTATACTCTGCAAACATCAAGTACAATGACGCGGTAAAACTCCACTACTCCAATAACTAGATACTTAAACTCCAACACAATTCAACGAGATCTCCGATCTGAACTCGGTGCTGAACAACTCCCCTATATATACCCACACTGTCTATAAATAGACCATTACATCAGCATACATAATGAGTCTGGAATTTACTATAAATTTCTAGAATGGTCCATTGCCTCCTACAGTGTTCTATTACCTATTCAACCAGTTTCTAAAAAAAATCTAGAATATTCCACCCAGACACGGTACGGTTCTAGAACATTCTCAGTGACACGGAAGTGGTAAATAAGTCGTATGCGACATATGGGCATGGTTATCAGTGCGACAGACATCTCATATGTATGGCAAACACTACATGAACCCACAATTGTTCATTGTCTACTCCTTCTTAGGGAAAAACTATAACCATGGTAACCTCGATGCACGTACAATTACGATGTGTTCGTGTGCGTCAGCTTAGTTCAGACCAGACACGGAAAGGTAGCTACAAGTAAAATGACAACAACAATTACTTAAGTTTCATGATTCAGACTGTGTAAATCATGGATTAAATTCCCACAACATCACTTTTTTAGCTCCCGAACAAAGAAATGATATATGTGTTGTGTAATGTTGTGCCGTGGGAGATGTAACTCCTTTAATAAGGGCTTTTTCGCACTTTGCCGCTTCACTCTCAGGACAAAAGGCGACATAGCTCGATGCAAATAGAGTAGGACGCGCGGCATCGCATTAAACCAGAGACACCGGGATGAGTATCAACTGTGTTGACTGTATTGGATGGAAGTTATACATAATTTAGTTGTCGCTATAGTGTAAGCCACCCTTTCATGGCTTCACACGTCTTCCTGTCCAATTATAATTACCCGCTCAATACTAGTACTAGTTATTAATACCAAGGAAATAATTTCACAACCCAAATTGCAATTTATTCGTTGAATACGTATTGAAATAAGTCCCAGTCTTTTCTGATTTGAATATAGTTTATTGAAATAAGATTGTGGTTGCATGGCAGTCACCTTAACAACGAAACACAATTTGTTGTGCAATTTGTATGCGTGAAGATTCAAACGATGACGGTTTCGCACAACGAGTAATTGGATAAATGTGTTTGCAATTTAAATGGCTGCCATGTATTCAGTGAACCATTCATAATTGGAAATGTATTCCCTTATACTTTCAAAAACTCTTTAGTCTGAGTCTTGCTTACTCCATTATGTCATGGGCTTGCAAATGGTGTGTCGG